GGTGGTATTTTGGTGCACTTTGTCAAAGTAATGCAATCCCCTTCTATCATACAATTGGCCTTGCCTTCTTTCTTATTGTCAAATCGCATCGCAGTGAACAATCTAGCACATGTACGTATCTAGAGATCTTTCAGTAGGGCTTCTGAAAAGGACTGTGCACATTGTTGACATGAGTAGTCTATTCAATCCATTTAACCTCTAATAAACTTTGGATAGCCCTATACCGGCTCATCTACACACAGAAGTTGGCTAAGCAACGGCTCAACTCCTGGGGTATCACATCCTCTCCCACTTTAGAATGCAACGTTCACGTTGCACCCCAAGGATTATCAACTGCTAGGCCCGTCAACAGTCTAGTCAAAGACTGCGGGCTGTCGCAGGTCGGTTATAATACCAACTGTGACACCCCGGCCCGCAAGCCATCCTCAAATTACTTTGGGACAAGCACGCTTAATTCTAGAGTTCTTTCAGCAGTACTTCCGAAAAAGAATGTGCACATTGTTAATATAAGTAGTCTATTCAATCCATTTAACCTCTAATCGACTTTGGATGGCCTAATACCGGCTCATCCACACAGGAGTTGGCCAAGCAATGACTCAACTCCGGGGTATCATAGAGACACACACACATTTATTAGGTAATTTTGGCATAAATTATAACAATTTCAGTGAAGAATTGCGAAGAATGCTTATATAAATTGCTAGGAAAACATGTCCAAAATTAGTGTTATCAACCATCACATCCCCATCAAACCAAACTATTGTGAAAAAAACAACATTTACTTGTCCTTATTGTATCTTTTCCTACATAATGATGTCTTTTGGGTTGCGCAACACCCTAACAACCTTTCAGCAATGCATGTATCATATCTTTAGTAACCTCCTGGACTCACTCATTAAAGTTTTTTGTGATGACTTTTCATTATATGGTACTAAGACCTTTTTCCTGATGCCTTAATAACTCTGCCAAAACGCTTCTCCACTGCATTGAGACGGACCTCGTGCTGAACTAGGAGAAATTGCGGTGAACACCATTCAAAGGCTTGCTTATGTAATGAATGGCGTGATGCGTCTGCTACAATTTTAGGCTTGGCACAGCTCCTACTGCACTATCACTCGCGTCGCCCATAAGCTCAAATGGCTAACTCCAATCAGGTGCTTGGACAATGCGTGAGGAGATTAATCTCTCTTTAAGGCATTAAAACACGTCCTCACACTTATCCTTCCATATGAAAGGAGCATCCTTGCACAATAAAGCAGTGATAGGTTGCGAAATCTTACTGAAATCCTTGATAAATCTTCGATAAAATCTAATGTGTCCTAGAAAACTCCGTTCAGTTTTTTCATAATTCGGGGTTGGCATCTTTGTTATTACACTTACTTTTGATTTGTGTACTTCTATTCCTACGATGGAGACTTTATGACCCAAAAAAATTCCCTCTGTGACCAAGAAATGACATTTCTCCCAATTCAAGAGAAAAATTAGATTTTACGCGGCAAATTAGCATCTATTCCAAATTCGTAAGGTATGCAAAGAATGTTTTGCCACATACAAAAAATTCATTCATAAATACTTCAACGCATTAATCTAGTAAATCAATGAAGATGTGTTATATGCACTTTTGAAAAGTTACAGACATGTTACATAACCCAAATGGCATTCTCCGATATGCAAAGGTTCCATAGGGGCATGTAGTAGTTTTTTCAACATCAGCAAAAGTGATTGGGATTTGATAGTATCCAGAATAACCATCTAAGAAGCAGTAAAACCCATGATAACTCAATTTTTCTAATCGTTAATCCAAGAATGGTAGTGGGAAATGATCTTTGCGCATAACCGCATTCAGTTTTCTATAATCAATACATACGCATCATCCAGTAACTAGCCGCATCATGAATACTTCACCTTTCTCAATTTTTTTTCACAAATCCTCATTTCTTCGGAACCACTTGAGTGGGAGTCACCCATTCACTGTCCAAAATCGCCATGATTATGCCTGCATGAAAAGGTTTAATTACCTCTTTCTTTCTAGCCTCTTGCATATTTTCGTTGAGGCGGTGCTTTGGTTGGCAACATGCTTTTACATTTTTCTTCTAGGTAGATATTATGTATGCAAACAGCAGGGCTTATTCCCTTGATGTCACATATTGACCTTGCAATGGCTTCCTTGTATTTTATTAGAGCCGCGAGCAATTTTTCCTCCTAATCATCGCATAGACTGCTAGAAATAACTACTGGATATTCATTGTTTTCTTCAAAAAATGCATATTTTAGATGATCCAAAAGTTTCTTAAATACAAGTTTTGGTTTAATGTCTCTATCTTTAAGTTTTTCTAGGATTTGCTCGCGAGTATTTGCATCACGATTATTTTCAGAGGCCTTGGATATTTCTACTAATTGAGATGGATCACATTCAAGTTCCTAAAATCAATTATCTATTAAATTATAATCATTTGTAGATATGCAATTTATAACTATTGGATCAAAGTCATTGTTGCAATCATTTGGTTGTAGCATAGCATCTTGCATTACAAATGTGAGTTCGTCCTTACCAAGCTGCAATGTCAGTTCGCATTTGGCGACATTGAAATTTGTTTAGGCAGCGGTAAGGGAAGGTCTCCCTAGTATAAACGGAGTATTCTTATCCTATGATATTTCCATGATAATGAAATTAGGCGACATTGATATTTGTTTAGGCAGCGGTACGGAAAGGTCTCCCTAGTATAAACGAAGTATCCTTATCCTTTGATATTTCTATGATAATGAAATTAGGTGGGAAAATAAACTCATGAACTTGTACCAGAACATCAAATTTAATTCTTTTCGGAATTCTAACAATTTTATCCACTAATTGAATAACAGTTCTACAAGGCATTACTGTGTATAACTTCAATTGTTTGTACAAGGAATATGGCATTAGATTGTTTCTTGCTCCTAAATCACCCCATTTTTCAGTTCCGAATTTCTTAATGTACATGCAAATATGAAGCTCTCATGGTCTCCCATTTTTGTAGGCAATTCTCCTCTAAATATTGCACTACATGTTTCAGTGTTGTGAAATTTATGTCTCATCCTCAGGGGAGTGTCCACCTCTTTGCCAAAATATCCTTTAAAAATTTAGAATATGTTGGCATCTTCAATAGCGCATCTACATGGAATAGTGATTTGTAACTGTTGAAATATTTTAGAAAATTTAATAAATTGCTTATATGTTTCCTTTTGCTTTAGTGGTTAGGGGTACAGAATTTGTGAGTTTGTTTCTGAAAGTATTTGTAGAGTTTTTATCTTGTCTTTTTTCTCTTTCTGGTCTATCCTCCGTATGTGTGATATTCGTCCCTGCAGCAGAAGATTGCATTATGATATTAGAAGTAGAGGAAAAAATTTTACCTTGGTATGGATCAAAGAATTTTTTTTTTTTTTTTTTTCTGCTTTGCGTTTCAATCGCCTTTGCCTATTTTGGATTTTTGTCCATAGTGCTGGACAACTGGCTTGGTGTTTTCACGTGCAGTTGCTCTACAATCTGGCCCAATTTTTTTTCCAATAGCTTTATTATGGCGGTTGTGTTTTGTTGGAATTGTATGCTATCCTGCATGTACTTCTGCATATCTCCTCCAGGGCGGCTAGGGATTTTGTTGATGTTGTAGATGTTGAGGATGAGGGTATAGGAACTGTTGATGTTGTGGTGGGTGCGATTGATAATGGGGTTGCGGTGGTAAAGATCCTCATGGCGTATGCGAGTGTTGCCCTTGATTGAATAGAGTACTCATATCAACAATGAGCACATTCATTTTCGAAAGCCCTACTGAAAGAACTCTAGAGTTAAACTTGTTTGCTCTAAAGTAATTTGAGGATTGGTGACCCTTTGGAAAGTCTCACAGCGTGCGCATGAGTGAGGATAGAAGCGCGCCGAAATGACTCGTATTGACCTATGGGGCCAATCTAATCCCGACACGCCTGACTTTACGTGGCTTGCGAGTTGGGGTGTCACAATTTGTACTATGCCTAACCTGCAATAGCCCACAATCGTTGACCAGACTGTTGAAGGGCCTAGCAGTTGATAGATCCTTAGGGTGCAATGGGAACGTTGCAGTCTAAAGTGGGGATGATGTAATACCTCTGTAGTTAGGCCGGTGCTAGGTCATCCGATATTGAATAGCGATTAAGTGGATCGAATAGACTACTCATGTCAACAATGTGCACTTTTTTTTTTCAAGAGCCCTACTAAAAGAACTTTAAAGTTAACCCTAATTGTTTGTACAAAGAATATGACATTCGAAGAAAATGCCCGTCAAGTGGATAAGGTTGAATGCAATATATATACACTTTGTATGTTAGAATATTGCATGAGAGAGAACACGAGAAATATTACCTCGTAATTTTTGTGATTATTTGATCTATACATATTCTGAAGAGCTACACTAATAATTGATTATTGAGCTAATGATCTATTTCTAGATACATATTTCACTATCCTACGAGCCGTTCTCTTCGACATCCACAACTGATGAATCAATTAATTAGATTGTCACGTATCTTTTTATTATATTTTCTAAGTCAAATTACATATGAATGACTGCTTTCACGAGCATTTTTGGATTTATCTAACTAGATTCAATTAAATTTTCATTATCTTATAATACTTATAAGTCACTTAACTAAATCTAGTTACATGAATCCAAAAGAAAATTATTTTCAGTTATAATTTAGATAATAATCTACATATGGTGTATTATGAAAAATATATATATATATATTTAAAAGAAATCAGTCTTAAGTGGGACCTCCAACCTATACATATCATCATTGGGAAAGTAAAGTTCATATACTAAAAGACCGAGCTAACTGAATCGGCTGCAGCGACAAAAGGACTCAGCTAACAATAATACCCAAGTCATACCAGTTGTACAATAGTATAAACAAAAACTTAAGTACCAAGATACAAATCTAAACCAAAGCAAAAAATCAAAACTAAGAAAAATAATCGGCATCAACAAAAATAATACCTCGAAGGAGTCTCGAAAAATCTGAAAGAGTCAACGTTCTAGTTAACCCGATGATGCACACCTGATTAGCTAAGTAATCCAATGCATGATTACCTTCACGATAGATATGTGAGACAAATGAATAAACGAATCTGAGAAAATTATTCAAAATCTTTTTACTCCAAATAAAAATGGAACGAGACCAGGGGCCAGGCGGCGTTGTTACGTCAAGTAGAAAAGTAGCAGCAGCAGCAGCAGCAGCATTGCCTCCTTGAGACAATCAACCTAACATCACCCAACCTATACAAAGTGTACACAACACAACTATCTCATTTACACAACACATTTTGCTACAAGCAGCTACTGTCCACCCAGAGGCTTCTTGCTCTTCTTCTGTGAACTTGACTTTGCTGCAACATCCGATGCTGTCTCTCGTTTTCTCTTGTTTTGGTTATTATCATTCCCTCCGGTGCTTTGACAACTTTTCATCTGTGCTTGCAATGTGTCTTTCACGAAGAACTTCAACTTCCACAACGTTGATTCACTCTGCAAGGGTCATGTGCATCAGTACTAGGTTTATTTATCAGTAGACGACTTAATGAATTAGTTATGCATCAGATAAAAATATATTTAGTGTTTGAAAACCTGAGCGTCAATGTCAACTTCTACAGTATCATCTGCTGCTTGAAATGTGGGATTCGCCTGGGCGATGATGTCGAGGGCCTTGTTAATGTCTTCAGGTGAGAGCTTGGTGATGGCACTCCCGAGTTGTTTCTTCTCTTCTGTTGAGATTTTCCTACACCGAGGTGAAAATTACACATCAAAATCAAAATAACCACTACCGATATGCATCTTAGACATTAAAACCCAAACACATTGACAGCGAGGTCTTAATTGACTAATTCCCAAATTTGAACATAGATACCAGTGAGAGAACCTACTAGGATTTTGATTCATCTACCTAAAATTGTGAATATACAACACAATTGATAAAACATACACAGGCTGTACTGAACATACCCAGCTTTGCTACTGAAATAATTGAGCCAATTAATGCCAAACAAAGACCAAAACTGTAAAGGGTCGTGAACTCATTTAAAAAAGAATAGAATATGTAGAGCATGGATAGAGGGATAACACACCTGCACTTCTGAAGTACACTATCCTTGAGTTCTTCCAGATTTCTCTCGACTTTCTCAAGCTAAGAAACGATTGATAGGATGTTATATCATTTCCAAGGCTATCTTAGCATAGGACTAGAGGCAAGACAATTATATGACCCATCAACAACTCACAAGAATAATTTCCTTAGCTATGAGGGAAGGGAAAGTGGGTTGGGGAAGAGAGCCTAAAAAAATACCTCGATACTCAAATCTTTGGCCATTTTGGCATGAGCAACCTCCTGAGCAAGCTGCATATCTAGTTGCATCTCAGCTTCTTCTTCTTTCCGCCTTTTTTCCTTCAAGGAAAGAAAATAGTTTACAAGATGTTTATTCCCAATAAAACAACAATATTGATAATATTATATATATTACACAATAAATCCCAATAGAGTATCAACTGGCAATTTAAATTTGAAGTATCAATGATAGCTTTGAGCATCAAGAACATTGGAATTTTCATGAACGTAAAAATATTGATTCCGAGCTTATCTATAAAGTACGGAAACTAACTAATACCTCTTCATCAACTTTTGGTAAAAGCTGAAGCCATTTTGTCTCAAACTTATCCAACAAACTCTTGGCCATAACATGGACATCATCTTTTTCTTTGTTATACTTCATTGCATTCTTAAATACCAGCCTTACATCAGCGCACATCTCTCGGACATTTTTATACCCAGTCTCATCCTTGGCCTCCATTTTGCTTTTGATAGTACTGAAGTCCATGGGCTTCTCAATAACCTAATGTTAATGATTAATTATACATTCATATGAAACAACTAATGGAAATGAAAGTGTAGGGTCTGCCTAGAAAACTTAAAGTGTTGTAGCCATTATGTTTAGTTGTTTACAGTTTCAAATGACCAATTTGATTGGGCAAAAATATTAATAATCTATCAGAAGCTTCTTCGTTTATTTGGGCCATCAAACTGATCCGGAGGGACCACAGTGTATATAAATACACTGGTTGATCACAAATATACAAAGTCCGCAGCTTACCTCATAATAATCATGTAGACCAAGTCCCACAACATCCACAGGCTGCATAAAGGGTCCTGCCCATTTGTGTTGAGTCATCTGACAAGAGTGAAATAAAGATAAGTGTTTACAAGTTACTTTTAGAATTGTATACTTCATATTATTTATTAATATATTTAGATTCGGTACAATATTTTGTCATTTATATGTGAATCAGAAGGTAGGTTTAAATTATTAATTTTGTTTCTAATTCACAATTTTACTAATGCGTTATGAATAGGATACTCTTTTATTAATTTTATGGGAAAGACACAAACTTTTTATTTCTAACAAGGTATAGACATGCCACAAGTGCCATAATTCCGAGGACCTCTCACTCATCTACCAACCCATCCAATGCTCAAATGCAGGCCACGTGATACAAAGAACAAAATCAGCAATGAAGATGTGTAGCAAAAATGCCTGTCAGCCAAACTCAAGCTTATTTCCAGCAGGTTAGAGAGTTCCCAAACACTTCCATAATTTTGGAGATGCAAGAATGGGGCAGTGCTGAACTTTCATCAAGTTATAGTGCATTGTTTGAGAAAGAAGTTCACCAAGTATTGGGGACGAGTTTTCAGGAGTATTTCGGGAGGTGGTTATTTAATTCTAATGGGTCTGTGAGTGATTTTTGGTCACAAACACCTTTGGAGATTGATAGTATGGAATATGTGGCAAATTAGGGTGTGTTTGTTTGGGGGTTAGGATTTGAATAGTAAAAATTTTGAATTTGAATAGGTGTATGATGTGATATAAATAGGTGTTGATGTGATGTTTTGAAAATATAAAATTGATTTTTAGTATAATATAAAAAATGAAAAATAAGTGTTTGATTTGATGTTTTTTAGAAGAAAAAATGGGATGAATAGTGTATTTAAAATTAATCCTCCAAACAAACACACCCTTGGTGGACTCAATTGTAATTTCCATCACATTCATTTCTAGCTAACGAGTTATGTGCAATTCGCAGTTTATAAATAGTCCCATGCCCGTAAACAGGGATTTCAAGCACGTCTAAGCAAGACTTCAATGAATATAACAAACTGAAAGTTCTTCCATCTTCTTTAAGCAGGTATGACGACTATTCTTGTGACAACTCAAAATCAGGTCATTGTTTGGATCATCCACCCAATGGTTCTAGGCCTAAGGTGAGTTAGATTGGCGACTCACAACTCTGATTCATTGCATGGTTTCTAAGGACTGGTAATATCCATCGGGTCATTGTTTGGAATTTGGATCATCCCCCCAATGGTTCTAGGCCTAAGATGAGAGAGATTAGCAACTCACAGCTCTGATTCGTTGCATGGTTTCTATGGACTGCAGTATCCATCGGAAACCTTCAAACAGTATGAAGGCCTGAACCCACACCATCCCCTATCGTTTTCTGTTTCCTTCCATTTTAATTTCATTGATTTTCTCCAATTTTTCTAAATGTTTTATTTTTGAATTATGTCCATCAAGTTTCATTTGCTTTTGCAATCTAAGTACTTGATCCAAGGAATCTAAGCCATCTCAATTCGAGCAAAAAAGATGCACCAATGAGCAAATTTGATGAAAATTTGGTGTTCCTTAGCGTGAAATTTTCGGATGAACCATTGCTTGTGTTGTGTCTACTGGGAAATGACTTTTATGCCTTCATGGGCAGAAAATGAAGGCCACTTAGATCTTAAAACCCTAAAGAGCAAAAACCAAAGACCAATACCACCAACTAAATAGTTTCCTTGATTCCTTCTAAAGTGGAATGCTTTCCTCCCTATCCTAAAATCATATAATCTAACCACCCTGGGAATATCAGTCCCTGATATTATTCATACTTTTGCTCTAAAATACTATTCAAGGTGCAGTTTCTCTCCTTCACACAACCTTTCTAGTGGTTAGGACTTTTGTGCCACAACTGCTAGGTTATATATGTCTTCTTTGATTTTGTTGACTTTTGTGCATTGCCACTATTGAGTGTGGCGGTGTTTCTCGCGCATAGTTTATGGAATGCTCTTCATCAAGCAATCTTGTTTAGAACATGATAACCATGTCAGAAAACTTGATTTGTTCTCTACTAGAAGCTGAACAATTTCTTGCCTCACAAGGATCCCACTTGACAGAGTGTTAATTCCTTTAGAAATATAATACTAATATGCTACTAATATTTGAAGTCAGAATTAACGTAGGTTTTTTAAAATAAAATTATTAGTATATTATACCTTTTATAGGGGAAAATGAGCTTTACATTTCCTACACAATAAAAGAGCCACCTGTGAGCTACTATGGCTTGAACTTATTCTGCCCATGTGAGAAAGCTGGCAGTAACACAGGCATCCATTATTTCCGACTGTTCAAATTTTTCCCTATTAGAATTTTAGGCCACTGATACTATGTCCTGATTCCTGCAAGGTTTTTTCCCCTTTCACATAGTAATTTTAGAGAATATTATTCTTTGTCACACTGGCTTATGTTACAACTTTTTTACTTTGGAGGGACTTCTTTTTGCCACCAATGTCCAATGTAGACATTGTTTCTTGTTATGTCCTTCCAGTGCTCACTCAATTTTCCAAAACATTACCTAACTAATAGCAACTAACAGAATTAACTGGGTTTCTAAGGCCAAAATATATAAAATGAGAAGCTGACCAAATAGACAACCTTGGTCTATAAAAAATATACAAAGTGCAAGAATACGAAAAGAAAGATAGCATAACCAATAAAGCAGAAAAATAAAATCCATAATTATCCAACTCAAAACTCACTCAAACTATGTCTGCAAGCAAGACAATGGTTACCTGACGTAAGATTGTTCCAAACTGGCGCTTAAGCTCTTGCATTCTCTTGGCAGCAGCAGCCTCCCTACGAGCAGCCTCTTGCTGCCTCTTCTTAAAATTTACAGTGGAGGTTTCCTTATCTTTATCTTTCGTAGAAGAAGCACCTTTTGGATTTAGATGCTTCGTATTTGAATTGGAGTAAAACTGTTCAACCTCATTGAGTTTTTGCTCGAGCTGCACACACTCATGACATACATGATTATTTAATAATTATTGATCATAAATAAAAATCACATTTCCCAATTAGCACATGTAAAATCATCAATAAGATCACAAGCATATATCTTCGCATTTCACTCATAAAAGTTTGATATTTTTATCTTGCGAATTTATATCTATTGCATAATGTTGATTAGATTATTGTTGCATTATACAAAATATTTGGTGTACATTTAGTATAATTGGATTGGAATGTAAATAAGAATGCAAATTAAGTAGTGTTGATTATTTGATATATGTATATACATATTAAGATCAAATCTCAGTAGGTAAAGACCAAAAAGAATTTACGGTTGTGTTCTTTTACAACAAATTTTTACTATTCAAATTCTTTTTTCCCTCTAAAAATATCACATCAAACAATTACTTTTCCCCTTTTATATTATACTACAAATTTATTTTACATTCAAAAGTATCAGATCAACCTTGATTTATATCGCATCAAACAACTATTCAAATTCAACTTTTTACTATTCGAAAATCCAAACTAAAAAACTAAAACCCACAAACAAACACAATTTACATGTTTTGTGAGAATATAGTCTGTTTGTCAAAATATGCCCCAAAACAATGCGATGTAAAATTGCTTTATAAAAGTGGAACTTGCACAGCCATATAGGTATCTAATTCATTAACAGAATTCTAAATTCGAATGCATTCCAAATATTACCATTTGGCAATCAATCCCAAAGATGTTTAGAAAATTATATTTTCTTTTATCTTTGCTTAAAATTTTTAAGTAGATTGGAGGTTAAACAAGCTAAAAGTTTACTTTCTAAATTAAATTCATCTACTACTCTAAGTAGACAAGATAAGCTACATAAATCCACAAGGCCTGATTCCAACAAAAAGAAAACAAAAGGAAGTTTATAACCAATACACATGATTCCAATAAAAACAATTTGGAAAAGATCTCAGAAAATAGAGCATTCTACCTGATCAACTTGTACAAAAATTTCACCCACAAGTTCATTCAGGCTCCCCACTTCAGACATATTTGGTTTATTTTCTTTTGGGCTGCTACCCTGTACATCCAGCCGGATCTTGGCATCCATTAGCTACCCGCAGGTTCTGGCGAACATATAGAATATAATTTTTTCGCTTAATCATATTAAAGCACCACATTTACTGATATGAAAAGTTCCAATAACTCACCTCACAAATCGATAGATGCCATAACATTTTTTAATAACACAAAAGTATAACGTTAGAACTAATGCAGTAAGCACCTAAACCAATTTCAACAAAAGAAACACAAAATAAAACCACCAATCCGTAAAAGAATGAACGTATTCAACAAATATTGAACCAATTGACTTCAACCCTTCGAATCACCTAGTTAACATCAAACATTGTGAAACTCAAACCCTAATTACCATAGCAGTAGGCATTGGAAATTTGATAACAGCAGTTCATTCAAAAATAATGTAAGAAGTGAACTTACAAAGGCTTCCCACGAAACACAAGAAAAACAAAACGGTAAGAGGATGACAACCACGACAACGAAGCAGCCCTGTCTGGCGTCGAAGATCGGAGGGAAGAATGACTGCGGGAAAGGAGACGAGAAACGAACAAGCAGACGAGACACAGATCTGGTTTCGAAGTCCTGATAATTTGCGAATGATAAAACAACTTTTTTCTTTTTAAATAACTCAAACACACTCGCACCCACAACTCAGCAGGAATTTCACCAAACAGCGCCCACACAGGGTCGAACCCAAAATCCAACCTCAAGAGAATGATGGAATAATTTACTCCTTCGTCCGTATATAAGATTATATTAAAAATATTTTTATATTTTTAATTTTTTTTTTTTATAAAATATCTTTAATATTATAAAATATTAATGAAAATATTTTTTAAATTTTTTTTTAATTTGTATTAAATTTTGATATAATAATTAATATTAAAAAATCAATGTGACCCTTACCTAATAGAGGTAGTATAAACATAGTATATGATGTCAATATGAACTTATAGTCACAAGTTCACCGACACCACCATCAGGTCACCTTTACGGCACAAACTCTGACGCTTCCAGGTCCACTTACCACACATGATTTGCTGACTTACCTTATTGGGGCCTAATTTGCAGGTTATTAGACTCGGCCGAAATTTACCAAAATGCACGAGTAGCGACTGCATTTCCCACGCTATCAAAAAAAATAAAAAAATAAGGCAAGGATAGTTCCGATCAAAAATTAAATAAATAAATAAATAAAACGCAAGGATTGTTGTCCCGTAAGGGAGGCTGGTGGTGTGAGGTGTTCAAACCGCGACGCCTTCATATCACCTGTCACACATGATTCGTAATCTGTTTTGTCGAACTAAATTTACAGGGTATTAGGTTCGATTGACTTTATCACATTATAAAAAAAAAAAAAAAAAAGAAGCAAATAACGTAAAAGAATAGTTCGTTGAAAGATGGTCTATGGTGTAGGGTGAACCCTACGGATTTAAATTCCCTCCAAGCTACATGAAACACTTGGTTTAATTTCTGATAACTTGTTGTAAGATTTATTTTAATGTTTTTTTTGGAAAATAATTTGTATGAATAATATAAAATTTTCAAAATCCTTTCCAAATAAACACAATTTAGAGTAACTCATTTCCGATTATACCTTTTACTTTTACAAGTTAAAAAAAAAGTAGAATTGGATTTAAATCTCTATTTGCCCAAAATTATTTATATTTAGTCCATATCTAATAAAACGTGGACTGCACTCCCCCCATTTCCATATTATTTATTTTTTTCCTCCCTTTACACCCTCTTTCCCCACCCAACAAAAAGGAAACCTCTGCAATTATTTTTCGATCGAAAAATCCTCGAAGAAACACCGGAAACTACAAAATTGAACCCACCATGTTGGTTGCTCATGCTCTTTCGATCTTCAACACTCATTCATTCCCTTGTTGTCGATCTTGAACGCCCATCGCTTTGCGCCCAAATCGACGGACCTCAAAATTTTTTTGGGTTAGTAACTATATATCGATTAGAGGTAAAAAACAGGGTATTTTGTGGGAAATTAAAATGCCCTGCTCGATGATGCTTACTCACATCTAACAAACTTTCAAACATATCCATCTATAAATATATTCAAATTCTATTTGCGAATATTTGGTTTTTCAAGCGATTGAATATTGAAATTGTGTGGATAATTATTCATTTTTATATGTTAACTAAGATAATGAGAGTCATCTTCAAGCAGAGGTAGTTCATTTCCTATGTTAAATATACCCGCTTGATGGGAGGTTGTCATCAATTTGTTTCTATATTGTTCCAATCAATGTACTAATCCTCATGTTTCGTCTGTGTAACTTGGTCGATCGAAGAAAACGTTATATTCTCAATAGATAAAAGCAGTCACAAAAATACGATCATTGTGGTCATTTCGGGCACAACAGAAGAAACTGTAAAGATCGGTTGCCGTAGTCCTTGCGAATGTTGTAATTTTCGGCTTTGTCATGGACGTCTCATTTGACGTGTAAGTAATTACTTTTGTGGTGCTTGATATAATGCAATATTTTAGTAAATTATACAACAACAAAACCCCACTTGCATAGAACCACAGTTGTAATTTGGATGTATTGTGGTACATGAACACGAACAACGGGTATTTGACACTCTCATTTTGTATATGATAATTCAATAACACAAGTATCATGACACGTAACAGAGGCATAGAGATTATCTTAGGGGTATTTAGTTGCTCTTTCGAAGCACAATGACATTTTTTGATATTACTGTCTTATACACAATTGATTGTAATTTATATGAAGGAATTGAAGCACATTGTGTTGCATCCGTTAAACCCATACACAATTGATTGTAATTTGTACACTAAAGAGAACGGTAGAATGTATTGACATACATAGACACAAACATCGAAACCGAAATAGTTCCCATTTTTTCTATGACATTTGAAGCCGACGGTTTATGAGAACTTATCAAAGCCACACAACTCATTTTTATATTAACTTTCTGAATTGGTGTATCAAAACACTTTGGCATAGTAGCATAGGTAACAATTCATGAAGGTCACTTTCGGTCATATTCTAAATCTTCACAAGTATTAATAAGAGCTATGAAGGCACGAAGTTAGGAAACTATGTCATGAGATTAGATTTTTCAGTTACATGAAACACTGTAGTAGGTACACACCTAGTATAATTTCATACACGAAGCCAGATTGGGGGTATAGCACAACCGATCTGGAGTACTCACTTGCTTAACCGAGTCAGACCCTATGCTTAGATGCCCCTGACCGAAAATTGTTGTGTGCACTATGGTCTGGATTAATATGTAATAGGTCTAAAAAAATTTTATTTGTGGCAGCAGTCGTATACTCTAACAACCAACATAATTTAACTTAGTCACTTATGACTTGATTAGACATCTACAAGTGGAGGTTGAACTATGATAGTACATATATCATACAACCTAACTAAGTCAATCCTGACTTGTTTAACCATCAATAATGAATACGTGTTGTTTACCTATTCTGACAATTCGAAGTGTTTAATAAGACTACTATGATAAACTCATATTTGGTTACCGTCAGCAAGTGAAAATTTTGAACCACAAACGGCTCTACCCTAACCACAAGTTACCAGGGTATATAAACGCTTTACAGAAGGATATGAGATCATAATTATTAGTAGTTAGTATCATCCCTAGGGTATGTGGTTATTTTATGCAGGTACGTGAAAATGTGATAGGGGTACAAATACTGACATGCGAGGTATAAATAATGGTCCCTCAAGTATTATCTGTGTAGTACCAGGTATCCTCAAATGTAGTTGATTACAGTCATTCCAACACATAAGGGTCAATTCGCGTACTCGGTGAGAGCACTTCCTTTCTCAGCTTTGGTGGACCGAATGTTGTGTATGCTACAATTTTGGATTACTACATAATAGGTCTAAAGAACAATCAATCCGTAGGAGTAGTGATGCATTAATAGCAAACTACATAACTTAAACATGTCATGTATGATTTGTTTAGCCATCCATAGTAAAAATATGTTCTTTTCCTTCACTTACAGTTTGATCGATACACGGAAATACAATAATGATAAATTTATCCCTCGTTACCAAGAGCAATTGAATATTCTGAACCAAGCACGACCTATTTTCCAACCACAAATAATCAAGGCATAGATATGTTTCAACGGAGCATATAATTTCATTTTGTAGGTACGTAAAAACTGCATTGGGGTATGCCCGTTGTGCACGTATGTATAAATATTCTCGAGGTACAAACACCAATATTGTAGGTATGATTGATGATTGTTTAAGTATTATATGTATAGCTGCAGGTATCCTTATATCAGTCAATCGTCCGACAATTGAGGCAATTAAGGCACTCCGTAGGAGCACTCCCTCTAACAGTAAAGGTATGTGCATGAGTTTTAAGCCGGTATACATACTGTTATTGAAAGTATTCGTGGACAATCAGTCTAATATATTAATCATGTCTAAAAACTTCATGCACAATGAAAACCACGAATAGGATCAATCATAACATGGCTAGACAATCACTGTAAAATACATACAACTGATACATGTGAGGTCATCAACGTACCCCAGAAGAAAAATAGGAACATGATAGTTTTTCGTCACGAATAAAATATTGCAAAAACCAAATAAAATAAATAAACGATCAATGTTAGAAATAGCTAGAGGCTCCAGCCTCTGTGTTAGAGCCTCTTCCAGCTTCTCCAAAATATCGGACCAAGGTAAGGAGCGTGGGTTCCTTCTAAAAATACGAACAAAGCTCTTGCTTTGAGCCATGACATTATCCCTAACTTACACTCCTTTCGAATGTAGTCCAAGAACCACAAAAAACTACTCACAAAAACCAACAACTCCAAATCCGTGCCAATAGTAAAGGCCATGTTGTCTGGCTGATAACTATTGACCAAATCCAATAATCGATACCACAAGAATCTCATTTTCGGACAATCGAGAAAGTGTCCGAACAAAGTCCGTTTTATTTCCGTAATATGAAAATCTGACATTTCCTTCTTCAACTTCTCTATCTCATTATAAAAGTGCGCAACGGCAAACCGGCTAACTACATATTTATACTCATTTCATATTCTGTGAAAAAATAAATATTAGTCAATAGTAAAGGTATATCGAAATACTATATAAGTTTACTGAATATACTGAAGAGCACTTCAAAATACAAAAGAAGTGCACATATAACCCCTGTAGGTATATTACATAGCACGCTATGTTTAAAAGATGCAATTATGGGTACATAACAATATCATAATTGATTCTCAACCGATTTAATTTGTAACACAAGTGTCGACCCCTAAACATGATTAATATTCTTAAAAAAAAAACCAACAAACATGTAAAAATTAAACAATAGTAGCCAAATCAAACTTATTATCCTGTAAAACCTTTCGGAAATATAAAATGTTGAACCCTGAACACACAACTATGTCCAAACATTACTTCCAACAAACGAGGATTTCTTGAGGACGAACGGAGGCATACCACATTAAGGCCGAGGTTTAAACCGCAATCAAACATACAATCTAGGGTTAAGAACTGTGAATAAAATAAAAACTTTTAGGAAGAACGAAAGAAAACTTACTTCTTCGTGTTGCGTCAGGGTTCGCTTCCAACTTCTTCTTCACCATATTTTTTCAGTTAGGCAGACGGTGAGCTGAAATAAGAGTGATCGGTTAC